TACTTAAGTACGTTTAAGATTTAAAAAATACTTTTCGTACTTAAGTACAATCAATCTCACATACTTTAAGACTTTTACTCAAGTAATATTCTAAACGGTGACTTCAACTTCTACCAAAGTCATTTTCTGGTAAGATATCTGTACTTTTACTTGAGTATGGGTTTCAGGTACTTTATACACCACTGCTGCTAAGTTTAGCAACTTCTGAAAATTATTTTTCATCTATTTATGTGATTTCTTAAAATTTGAATCTTTTACTAAATCTTGAATTTTACATATATATCTCCTTATATCATCATCAATACGTACCCATGTTCCAGTTTCATGACTTTATTAAAATATGAATATCAACAAGCATTATTTGAACAACAATTTATTTAAATGTGAATTGAGAATTCTGATTCATTAGCTGCTATAGGTATAGAATAACAAATTGAAATAAACTAATTGAAACAATAAAACTATTTGCACTATAAATCAATGTGTTTATGATTATGGTAATAAATTAAAATAATCTGATAACAAATACCAATTTGCAAGATCAAGCAACATGACCGACTGTTTTTGTACAGCTAAAATAACTGGAAGTGACTGACACCGGAAGCAGCACACATTCAAGTTAAAAATGTCTGCACCTGCTCTCATGTTAAAAATAAGGTTGATAGATATAATTATAGACAAAGTTTATAGTCTCTGCAGGATTTAAATAAAATGCTAACTTGTTATTTTTAGCAAATTGCCTTCATATACAATTGCAGACATATAACCATGGGCAAGATACATGTTTAAGTTTGTTGTTTGCATTGCCACATTCTGATGCTGAGTGCATCAACACTCTCAGAAATTAAGGTTCTTTATTGATATCTATGTTTCCATGAAGAACCTTTAACATCCATGGAACCTTTCCATTCCAAGGTTGTTTATAGTGGAAAAGGTTTCTTAAGTCTTAAATGTTCTTGAAACTATGAAATGTTTTGATTTTTAAGGAGTCATCAAGCCACAATGGCATAAGTGACCTGAGTTTGTTTACTTCTTAAAGCCGAACTCAAAAAACATGAGTTGTTATTGATTAAAGACTCTCCATAGCTAATCTAACGAGTCATAGATTTAAAGCTCTGCTTTGAAGTAATTTGATTCTCACTGAACAGTCAAATGTTATTTTTCATTTCCAGTAACTCCCTAGGCCAGTCATAAACATGAACCTGTGGAAACCCTTCCTGCTGAGCTAAAATAAAGCTGGAAATAAAACGCTGGAATCAGGCAGGGTTACAAGTCTAAAAAACAGCCTCAAACTTGACTGATTCTTGAAAAGTGTGGTGATCTAATAGCAACCAGCAGCACAGATCTTAGCAACATTTTAAGCCGCTTAATTTGTAGTTTGAGAGAGAAACAGACAGGGATGTTGATGAATTGGAGAGCTTTCAACACTGCATAGATTTAACAGAGCACCCTGATGTGATTTGCAGATTACACAAAAAATAGCTTGTGTTTTTCAGAAGCTGACATCCCAAATACTACAATACAACAACAAACACCACCCATTATTTTCTGTTTTGAGTGATTATTTATATATATATATATATCACTCAAAACGGGAAATAAATAGCTGGTGTTTGAGAGCTAAAAAAATTCATAATTTTGGACGTCTTGCATGTGTTAAAAGGATCAAGACTTTTGTCACTGTATTTGTCATTGAAAAAACGATGTGGAATTGCTTTATTTAATTCCTGCTGCTGTGAAGGGGGACAGTGGAAAACAGGCCACTGAATATAACCTGGTCTTAAATGCTGGGCAGACTGCTGAGCTGACATCAAGTCACATGGGATTTGGCATCCACAGTAAATGGGACGGTTTTGCATAACTGCTGTTATTCAGTGAAATCCCTTAAAGGGGACAGAGATACTTATACAGACTACTGATTTTTCATAATGACATTTATTTTACAGTATTATTATATATGTGTTAGAGAGTCATTATGTTTTTATAAATTGATTGCAAGTAGTAGTTTATTTTTTATTTTTTTAGTAGTAGTAGTTGTTTAGTTGGCCATGCTAATTTCCCCTATTTTTACATTTATATGGACCTCTCTGTCATCTAACACTCACTTAAAAAAACACTATAGTCACACTTTGACATGTTTAAATGAACTCATGTATTCAGATGCTTCAACATCAGTGTCCATAGCAACCCCTCTCTCTCAGCTGCACAACCTGGGTTACCAGGAAGCTGTGTGAGCACCTGCAATCATATGTCCTCAGTCCTCTGCTGAAAAGTGAAACTGAAAGTGATTCAGAGCTTTGTGAGTTGCAGTTTTTCACAGAGAAAGTAAGGAGTTACTTTCTCTCTGAAAAACCGCAGCTCACAAAGCTCTGCCTTCTGGTGACCCCTTTTGTGTTGAAATGCACCATTATTCAGTGGGCAGCATGAACTGAATCTTTGAGTAAACAGAGCTGGATTGTTTACTTGTGGTTGGTCCAGTTAGAGTTGTTTTGATCAGATCATCACAAGCAGAGATGATCTTTCCTGGAGTGGATTCATAGCAAGCAATTCAAAACTTTTTTTTCCCTCTCAGCTCACTGTTGGTTTGTTTATTTTTATTTTTAAGATGTGTAACTCCTGCACAAACTACTTTAAAATATAAAGTAGTTAAATTTGAAAGTTGGCAAGAAATGAAAATTCACCCTATAGCCTAAATTTACTAAATGCATGTTATTGATCTTATTGTGAATTATTCTTCTATACATCTGGTTTTTTTATACCTCAATTGTTTTTACAAAATTCAGCCAACAGACTTTTCTCTGGGACAGGCATGCTGGAGTCCTCTAATCATTGTGTCAGCTTAAAACAGACACTTTTTTTTATGAATCTGTATGTTACAGTATAGGAAAAAAGATGTGTTGCTACTTCCATTTCATGATGACTTTAATGTAGCTATCACTTTACTTTACAAAAGCAGCTGCACTGCATATTGAAACTAGTCAAATGTATAACATCTTTTTATTTGAATTATTTGTATTAGTATTTTTTTTATATCAAAATGATATCAGATTGTTTAATTTATTTAAAATCAGATAAATTGAAAATATTATTTTATCCACTAATAAGCATACAAAGACACATAGGGGCCTACAGGTATTACACAAATAGAGTATCAGGCTGTTAGCTTAGCAACATGCTAACATCATTCTCTCTTGAAATCAACTATTTCAATACTACTGAGCTACAGCGTTCCAAATTGGTTACTTTTGGCTTTCCATAATGTTTGTTGTACATTTTAACCTTTCTGTTTTCTGTCAATATCAGGATTCCAGTGAGGGAAGGAGACATGTCCCAGGACAAGCCAAACTATCCTATAATGGGGGAGAATAACCCCCTTCACAACAGTGTCTATGGGCCACCCAAAACTGATGCCTTTGGAATGCCTCCGCCCAACTATAGCCAGGGCCCAGGGGCACCTCCATATGCAGCACCAGGACCCTACGGCCAGCCCGGTTACGACCAGCCTCCAGCACCAGGGTTCGGCCCTAGTCCGTACCCACAGATGCCATATCCACAGATGCCGTACCCACAGGGGCCCTACGTTCAGGGGCCGTACCCTCAGAGTCCATACCAGCAGGGGCCCGGCCAGCCTGCCTTTGGTGTAGATTCTAATGGTAAGTACCATTAGGAAGTTTACAGGAGAGGAAAAACTCAGTTTTTTTTGGTCTTCTTGAAATGACCACTTTAAGATTTTACTTGAAGTTCTTTAAAATATTGTACACAGGTTGAGCAATTTAGTTTTCTAACGACAGATAAGCCTCAGTGTTACTCTCTTAGGAGTAGTGAGTGGTGTCCCTGCTGAGTTCAGGTGTTGCCAGGTTGAATAAGCGTGTTTAGTCAGTGTGTACTCTGTCCTCCTGAGGGTTATTCAAGGTAAAGTGCTTTGCCAGAGAGTTTCAACAAAAGATTACTAGCTCTGTTAGGACTGTTCCTTTCTTAACTTATCCCTAGTGCCTGCTGTAACAGTTAGGATGTCTTTTCAAGTGTATTATTACAACGTCTAGCTGGTGCTGTTGGTGTAGATACTATAAAATGTGCTTTCCTTTTCAAACCTATAAAACTGTTTAAATCTGTCCTGTACTTCAGTTTTCCATTTCTGTGGGTGTTTTATTGAATGAGCATACTGGACGGATTTAAATACATTAGAATGTTGTGAGGGCTTTAACATACATTAGATTTCACCCATCACATGTATTATTTGTATTTGTTTTTTTTGACAGCTTCTGTGGAGAGCCCTGGATACAACGGTGCAGATGGACCCCCCTCTTACTATGGCAATGATGAGTTTGTGAACTCTGGCTGGGAAGATAAGAGTATCCGACAGGCCTTCATTAGAAAGGTAAGCAGTAAAAACGAAGTATACTTTGGGCTTAAGAGACAAATTCAGGTGGGGTCTTTATTTATTTATTTTTATTTAATTGATTTGAAATGGATATGTAGAAAGAGTCTTGTGATCCAGGTAAAGTGAGCAAGAATGGAACCTTGTCACATTTCCAGGGTTCTCAGAAGCGGAAGTTGTCATAGAATAATTTTTCTTTTTAGCATTCTCATTTGCTTAAATATATATATATACATATATATTACATATATATAAAACAATTATTATTGTGCTGTATTCAAAAAATTAGGAAAAACCCTTACGGCAGTTTGAACTGTTTTTTTTGTAATTGAATGACAAGGTAATATAACAATAAATGTGGATTACATTTCTTAAAAATTAAAATTAAAAAGAGTTGCGATATTTACAATGCTAATAACTGTGGAAATGTGGTTGTGGTTCTAATGTGAAATAGGTAATTGTATTGTGAGTATCAATACATTCTTAATAACAATCTCTCTGTCCTCAGTGTTTAAAAGTCAAAGTAATGTTTATTGTCATTTTTGGTCAACAAACGTGTGGACTCATGGTTGACCGATATGTGTTTTTAAAAAGCCAATGCTGATACTGAAACTGGCACAAAGAGGACTACAACTTTTATTTATTAGCCAGGCACGAGTTAATGGTCAGTTATGATAGTCTAAAAATGGCCAAATATCAGGAATTAAATTAAATAAAAGTTCTAAAAATGTAACGCATTTAACATGCATTTATTACAGACTGTACAGTATACACACAGATAAATGTCAAATATGTGTATTAAACACAGTTCCTGGAATGAATGAAGAAATGTAACAAATGGTCTTGTAAAATGTGTACGTAACTATTGTATGTAGCAGTACAGTGTGTCAAAGAAAAACACTGTTTCGTGACTCTGTTCTCAGGTGTTTATGGTCTTGACCGTGCAGCTGTTGATCACCTTCTCTTTTGTTGCCGTTTTCACCTTTTCAACTGATGTCAAAGTGTTTGTACGGAGAAATCAGTGGACGTACTATGTGTCCTACGCTATCTTCTTTGTTTCACTGATCGCTCTCAGCTGCTGTGGAGAGTTTCGCCGCAAACACCCATGGAACCTGGTGGCACTGGTACTACAACTGCCTATACTTACACATTATTTAGTGTTTTCATTCTGCACTGTACAAGAAAACATATGCAATCATGTTTTTATATGGTTTGTGAACTTAAAAATTAGTTGTTTGCATTATGTTTAATGTTTAATATATAATTAACTCTTTAAGTTTATATTTAGGTTTAGGTTTAGGTTTGTTTACTCTGTACTGATTGACCCCTTCCTGTATTTCTTTCTCAGTCCATCCTGACCCTGAGTCTGTCCTATATGGTTGGAATGGTTGCCAGCTACTATGATACAGATGCAGTTATCATGGCAGTAGGCATCACTGCGGTGGTCTGCTTCACAGTTGTGCTTTTCTCACTGCAGGTTTGTTTGCTCACTGTAGCAGTCTCATAGTTTTTCATCCTTTATTTTATTTTATACACGCTTTATTTTACCGAACAACATCTCATGATTATAATGACAGCATGTAAAGATTTGAAAGTATAGTTCAAGTATAGTTTGTGGACATTCAATGGCGGCCAATTTAGTTTTCAAGCTTTTGAGCTAGGCGGTTTTATCATGTGTCTTCCATGCATCCTTTGCATGCGGTAAACACCACTGATTGTCATTATCCTTCTCTTTTTCAAAAATAGAGCAAATATGACTTCACTTCCTGCTGGGGTGTTCTTTTTGTCTGTCTGATTGTCCTGCTCCTGGCCTCTTTCCTCTGCATCTTCATCCAAAATAAAATTCTGCACATTGTCTACGCCTCGCTCGGGGCCCTGCTGTTCACTTGTGTAAGTACCACCATCAATACCTTAACCTGTTAGTGTTCCACTGCGTGTTTTTGAGGGTTAACTTCGTGACATACAACAACTAAAAAAAAAACAAAAAACGGCTAAACATGTCGCATATCTGTGGAAGGCTGACATTCTTCATTTCAACAAGGCTTCCTGTTGTGATCCCATCGTGTTTTCCAGCTAATAGCTCCCAGCTATAGTTATCTGCATGCATCTGTTTACTAAAAAATATAGACTGAATGGTTTTTCATTCCGTCAGTGTGTTCAAAGTTCTATTACTCAATACCAGTAAGACTTACAGTGATTTGTTCTGTTTAGGAACAAACCCCAGTGTCACCTTTCAAAACCAAAACCATGCATATACTCCAAATGGTTCAAGAACAGCATGCAATTTACTTTGGGTATGCCTTTTTTAGGCATTTTAGGCTAATTTTACAGGAATGCTAAGGGGAATGCTTAATATCCTTTTAAAAATGATGTTTTTCACAGAAATGTGTGCTTCTATGTTACTAAGACTGTTAAACTCATCACACCTTCTGTTCTTCAAACAGTTCTTTACTTGCAATAATGATCACTGTTAAAACCTTTGGCATTCTAGCTGTCAATTTATTGAAAAGAAATGTAAAGTTGTTGTACATCTGAGCTTCTCTCTCTGGTTAGATTTTCACTTTCTTTATTCTTCTTTCATCTCTTCAGCTATTTCAGCTTATTCACTTCAGAAACAAAAAATCTCTTAGACTTTAGAAGAGACATTGTATTGTGACTTCCACACTTTAATAATTTATACAACTGTTTTCATCAAGATAATAAAACAGGTTTTTCAAGTGCCAAAATAGAACGCTGTTGTGATTAAGGATGAGGTAACACTGCTTTTCTCAGAGGTCTGGACTAATGGCTGGAGTGGGACTTTGCTGTTACACATTAAGATTAAATAACCATCAGATTTTTAAAATAGAGTTTAATAGGGTTTGAATGGCTTGTTTGATCAATAGCATATATCTTTCAAAAGTGGAAACCTGCACTTTGCTATTGTAGTTTGATTGTTTGCTATCAAAGTCATCATCCATTGTCATGCCTTTTTTGTGAGGTAAAACGTTTTACCATCTGTCTTAAACTGGGTCACCAAACTTGGGCCCTTTTGAAATCTCCAGTTTTCCAGTCTGACTGGCTGTATAATCATATCGTATCCCTTTTGGAGGAGTGAGATTAAGCATTTGGAACTGAAATTGTTGGAACATCAGGAAATTACAGTAGAGTTCTTCGATAAAGCTCATGTTTTATGAAAGAAGTCTCTTATGCTCACCAAGACTGTGTTTATTTGGTCAAAAATATAGTAAAGACAGCAATATTGTGAAATATTTTTACAATTTAAAATAACCTTTTTCCTAATTTAATATATTCTAAAATGTAATTTAATCCTGTGATGGCAAAGCTGAATTTTCAGCATCCCTTAGCCCAGTTTTCAGTGTCACATGATCCTTCAGAAATCATTGCAATATGCCGATTTGGTGCTCAAGAAATATATCTTATTATAATCAATGTTGAAAACAGCTTTGCTGCTTTTGATACATTGATAAAAAAAAAATTTCAGTATTCTTTGATGAATAGAACGTTCAAAAGAACATCATTTATTTGAAATACAAATCTTTTGTAATATTATAAATGCCTTTACTGTCACTTTTGATCAGTTTTATGCATCCCTGTTTAAAAAAATAATAATAATAAATGACTGCAAACTTTTGAACGATAGTGTAACTATCACAGTCAAGCAGGATACAAAACCAGTGAAATTTATGTAGGATTTGCTGATGATTTAAGACCATATGATTTTGTAGTTTCTGAATAAAACATGAGTGGTGCTGCTAGGCCTAGTGCATTGTGCTATGTGGTTGCTAGGGTGTTCTAGGTTGTTTCCAGGTGGTTGCTTACAAGCCTAAAGTGTTAAAAGAGCCCTTGCCAAGTCTCTATAATATTTTAGTCCCTAAATATCATTTGAATCACTCCTTCAGTGTAAGTCTGAGATATTTTTTTAAATAACCCACAAGGGGAAAATTGTGTATATAATGGCACACATCTCTTCAAAAACGATGAAAGTAAAAGATTAATATCATTTTCAATCCTTTGAAACAGTTCAGCTTGCTTTATTTCCTCAAGCACAACATGAATGCGACACTCAGGCCTTGTTTGTTCTTTCACAGTTCCTGGCTGTGGACACCCAGCTTCTCCTGGGCAACAAGAAGATGGCCATTAGCCCAGAGGAATACGTCTATGCAGCTCTTAACCTCTACACTGACATCATCAACATCTTCCTTTACATCCTGGCCATCGTGGGTCGTACCAAGGAATGAGTGCTCCTCCTTCCTGTGAGAAGAGGGAATGCAGTCCACTTTACACGGAATGATGTACCACCTCACATCTCATTACCTTTCCTCATATTCTTAATTTATTTGTCTTTCACATTCCCTGTATGTCAACATGTACAGGCTGATCAGGCCATAAGCTCATAAAGCCATTTGCAAACTCAAATGGCAATTTATTTCGAATTTTTTTTCAGAACCCGTTTGAATGTAGTTCCTCTACATTGCTCGCTCTGTCCTTCTTGTTAAAACCGCTTCTGTGGTTCTGGAGATGTATAGCGTGATATGACTCAACAGTTGCATCCAAACGGCATGGCAGAAATTCACTCGACTAACCTTTGCACATAGCCTGGTTGACAGTGAGGGAGCAAGAAAGAGCAAATATCAATGAGCGGAGATTTGTATGGCAGAGTAATGAACATTACTGATACTAATGTGCTCCACTAGTCAATATAAAGTCTCTGCATGATAGTTTAACACAGCAAAAAATGTCAGACAGACATAGATACTTCTCCAAACATTTGCATATATTCAGTAGCTGTAAATAGTCAGATAAAGCTCAAACCCCTCTAGTTCTAGGCATGAATATCTGAATATCTGGCTGTGCTACTCCCTAATGTGTGCGTTTCTATAACATTACTGCTTTGCAAAATAATACCACCAATAGATACACTCCAAGATGACAAACGTTTGTTCAGTTGACTATTATCTACAGTATAACTATGAGAAGTAAAATAAAGCCTGTATATAGTTTATCTTTCTGTTGTTGTTTTTTTAGTTTTTTTGAGAGGAAGGTGAGCTTGAGAGGTTGTCCTGACTATTAAATCGTTCCAAAGGTCAGTATTTGCGGCTCAAACACTACATTACATGACTCCTTTCTCTTTCATGCTGACTACATTACAGATTTATTTATTTTTCATTAAATAGTTCATTTTGTTGTTTTGATTTTGTATATCTGTGTGTGTGAATGAGGGAAAGAGAAGTATTCCCTTATTTTAACGAATGTGAATGGAATATTGAATTATTTTAGGCTTTTAGAAATTTTGCTAGTTGCATGTTACCTTGCAAAAATGTTCCATGTGCTGGAAAATAACAGGATATTTCTTGCATTTGATGTTTTTGTGGTTATTTATAAGTTATTTATTAAAATGCCAGAGGAAGTCTGCTGGGTAATGGACAACTTGTCATGAACATGGTAATATGGTTCATTTTAAATTGTCCTAGAAATTTAAGTGATGCATTTAAATATAAAACAAAAAAAAATAAAAAACACACTTAACATTGACAGGCATTTATTTAAGCATTTTAGGGCTAATTGTAGTGTACAAAGGCAGATTTTTGTTTATTCAAATTGTATACTAAAGAGTATTCACTCCAAATGTTTTCAGATGTGAAATGTAAAATGGTTTCTAAGATAATTAGGTAACTTAAAACATTCACTGAAATGCCATGTACCAAGCTGAAATCTCCTATCTTGCATGTGGGCCTCTTGAACACTGAACTGGCTGTGAAAATCGTGGGTTAAGAAAATATTGACTAGGGTGGCTTAACCTTTCTTTGTATGTCTTTATTACTAACTTCTGCATAAGTAAAGCTATAGTGGATTGAGGTTTGTAGAGTGTGTTTGGGCTTTGTAGATCTCTTCGCACTGTACATTTGCATTAAACTGAAGTTAAATTGTATTCCTCTGCAGCCTCTTTGCTTTTCATCACAAAAATAAAATTTGAGGAAAATACGGCTTGAAATTGTCATTGTACTTTTAGTGATTGGAGTAGATTGCAAATCATATATGAAATGTCATATGATGTGAATCGTTGAAAATGGTTATTTGGAATTAGTATCTTGGAAGGAATCGCAAAGGTACTGCCCCAGTGATCGCTTTTGAGTGTTGTGTATGGAAAAATATGTAAAGTTGACTCTAGTATTTGTGATTTATTAGTATTTGTTGCTCAGTCATGACCCAAAGTCTTATTTTAAAATAGGAAAAATAGGAAATGAAGTGTTTACTGGAAATAAAGTGTAAACTGTTTTTCTCGTCATAATTATGATCATGTAAAAAAAACATGATTATAAGATTTTAGTTTTAATAGTACTCATTTCTAAACTTTGTTTAGAAAATTTGAATTTGTTTACTTTCGTATATGACCGTTAACATATATTGCCTCTGAAAGAGACATTATAAATAAATATACACATGCAATTAGTCAGAAACAACAATAATAGCATACGGTGCATATTGAGGAAATGCTCCAAAAATCCACAAAGGGGACCTATAATGGAAGAAACCTAAAAAGACCAGAGTTGCAGGTGATGTATTGGAAATATCCACATCATAGACAATATGACAAACGTAATTGCAACTTACCTATGAAATTTCCTTGTACTCAAATCAAGTGTGAAGTTTTAATGTTGTGATCTGAGATTAATCATTTAATTCCTGTAGCTGTTCTAATTAAAAATATTATCAAAATGGTTGAAAATCACTTCATATTAAATACATTTTCATATTAAACCTTTGAACATTAAATGTCTTTTTATGTTTAAGTACACAGGAAACGTTCCATGCATCTTAACAGTATTTGCACAGTTTTTTTATTTATTTGTACATAGAATTGTGCAGCAGGTTAAAGGTGAAGAGGACGTTTTGGAGAGGGACAATGATCTTCATTCAGAGGAGCAGTAGTGGCGGTTGTGCTTGTTGATCAACAAGTGCTTCAGTTTTGGATCTTTCCTGTAGCGTTCAAGCAGCAACTCTTTTTCTCTTCGCTCCTTCTCCTTCCGTATTTTCTTCTCCTTTTTCTTGACCTTTTCTTCTGCAGATGAACAACAAGTGGCCCTTTTCTTTTGCTCTTTGGCTCTTCCTCGACATTCACATTGTGCTGAGTCTCATTCTTGGGACCTTCAGGAGAGGTTACACAGAACAGCTTCATCATGAGCTCATCCATTTCCTTCTTTTTCTGATAGGCAATTTCCAAATGGCCTTCTATGGCCTTGGAGTCTCCCATTTCACCAGGATTATTTTTCTCTTCCTCACATCCCTGGACCTCCACCACTTCACTCGCCCACACTTCCTCCAGCACCTCGCTGTCACTCTCCAACCAAGCAACCATCTGTCTCGGTTTCATTTCAGCCTCCAGCGGTCGGTGGCGTTCAGACTTGAGTAAGTCACAGGCCCGGATGGTCTTCCCTGTGTACTCCACATACTCGTTCTCCTCATCCTCTATGTCAATGAGCAGGAGTTGTGGAGGCGGCTCAAACAGGGAAGAAGTGGACGGCTGAGGCTTCACCAGGCTGGGAGGACACACTTGAGTTGGAGAACAATGCAGATCAACAACTTCATCAGGTGAAGGAGTGGGGCTCGGAGGAACCACCAGTCGTTTGGGAGGATGCACTTGGGAGTGTCGGAGAGAAAAGAGTTCATCATGTGCTGGAGTGGGACGTGGAGGAACAGCCAACGGTTTGGGAGGATCCACTTGAAGAGGAGAACATGGCAGGGACACTTCCTCAGGTGCAGGAGCTGGCTTTTGAGGACGCATGGGTGGTTTGGTCACTGGCGGCAGGGGCTTGAAGCGAGCGGCTGGTAGAGTGAGATGTTCAGAGACACTTTGAAGCATTGGAAGTTCTCCCTCTATTGGCTTCAAGAAGGAAGATCTCACTGGAGGACTGACTACAGTTTGCTGAGGTTTGACCTCCACAAGAAGTGGAGTTGGCTCAGTGGCCTTTTGTTCCTTCAGTTTTCTCTTCTTCTTTTTCTTTTCTCCAGCCTCTCTATGCTCACTTCCTCCCTCCATCAACTTTTCTAGACTGTATCTCTCTGAATTTGGCAGAATCTCTTTTTTCTGCTGCACACATCCTCTCTTTTATCTTATCAATTGTCTCTCTTTCTTTTTCAGCCTTGTCTTTATGACTTCCTACCTCATTCATCTCTCTCTCCTTCTTCACCTTTCTCTTCTCCTGTCTTTCCTCCTCTTTCTCTCTATACTGTAAAAAAAGATTTTTTAAGGTTGTAAATAAACATTATTGCAATACAGACAATACTATTTCAGTCTTTCTATTTCAAAATTTCACATTTAACTCAATGTGTTACTTGCAGTTTCATTGTAATTAATTGTGAAATTTACTAGCAATTTCTGAGGGAAAATTGTTTCTACACAATTTTTTTTTCTTTGTAAGCTGGTACCTTGCGGCATCTTTTTCTGCACTTCCTGTCATTAGCAGTGAAGGCCTTACTCTCACCTGCCTTCGTCAACGGTGCCTCTGGAAGTTTCTCTAGTGCTGCCCATTCTTGCGCTGCACACTGTGCCCTCTGAGGTGTCTCCCTTCTGCGCAAGAAGTGAGCAAAATGCTCAAAAAGTTGTCTAAATACACTGCTGAACAGTGCCATTGTGGACACTGAATGCTGCATATGAATTCAGTATTTGTCGACAATCTTTGCAGAAAGTCATGAAACAAGTATCTTTCGATCTTTTCACTCCTAACACACCAACAGAAGACAAGAGTCAGAGCAGCAGTTTAGAGCTGCCAGAACAGAATCTCCATTATGATGTCACAACAGTGTGCTGAACCCTGAGAACTCGGAACTATGTGAGCAGCTCCTGTAGCAAACACATTCACTCTAGTGGCACCAATATACTGACTGTTTTCAAACAAGTTTCCCAAACTCTCCTCCTGCCGCTGAATATTAAAATGACATGGTAAGGTTCAATTTTAAGAAACAACTACAATGTAGAACAAGGGTACTTACAGACCAGATTGGACAGAAATTAAACATTTAAATAGACAATCTAACACATTTTACTATGCAGTAAACTTACAAATGAATAAAAACAACCCGGTTATTATACTTTTATTTACAATTTTATTTAGCTTTATTAAAAGTTCCTCTGTCCACAAGGTATTGTGTGCCCTTTCTATATCATGAAAGACATCTTTTTAAAATCCAAATTTACAAATGACTCTGATATGGCGTAAACATAAAAGAGCAGAAATAATATTGAAATAATTGTGATATATCTAAAATTATAACGATATTTTATTTATATGAATTTATTTGTCATTATTACATTTGTTATTATTTACATTTTTACATAGTGAATGTTACAGTTAGACTGGTCTTGGTTGGTTTTTAGAGGGGTTTTGGCACTAGCTGGAAGACCAACTGGACCAGCTGAAGACCAGTTTAAACCACAGTGACTGGTTTAAAATATATATAAATGTTAAACACTGCCATTCAAAAGTCTAGAGTCAGTAAGAATTTTTCATGTTTTTGAAAGATGTCTCTTATGCTCACCAAGGCTTAATTTATTTAATCAAAAATACAGTACAAACAGAAATATTGTGAAATATTACAATTTAAAATATAAGTAAAAGTGTATATAAATAAGTGTTTTCCGTTTTAATATACTTTAAAATGTAATGTAGGCCTATTCCTGTGATAGCAAAGCTGAATTTTCATCAGCCAAAACTGCTGACGTTTATTTATAAAAACGTTTATTATTATCCATGCTGAAAAATATTTCTTTATATTATTTATGTTTTTGTGTTATGCTGTCCTGGCGTCTTCATCTGTTACCTCATCCCAAAACTAGGCTACATATCCCATCGAAGACTATTAAACTAATATTTCTATTTTATTACTACATGAATGACTGCAGATTGAAACTGAGCTAGACTGTATGCCTCAACCCGCTGTCTGTGTGGTCATCGCCTCCTACATGCGCTGTGAGACTGCGCATGCTCACTGTGCGCGACTGGCATAAAGTTGGCTTGACGTTGGACGTGCGATTTGCGCAAATTTAGGGACCGTCTGTAAAGTTACATACGAGATTGGTATACACGTTTCTAACTTCAATAGCATTTGAAGAGAATGACTTACAGTCCACAGCCAACTGTAAAGTGTTCAGGTAGGTTTATAAATATACCTTTTAAATTTTTGATATTTATTAAAATAAACTGTAAAAAAAAAAAAACATTTCACTACTGAATGGACTCAAACACAAAATATGCCGTAATTTAAAGCTAAATAGCATTTAAGGTGAATGACTTACCTACTGTAAAGTGTTCATGTAGTGTCATCTATAATGCACACCTTTTATATTTTTGATATTTATTCAAATAAACTGTCAAATCATATGGAAATATTGACGGTTTTATGACGGTAAGTCATTCTCCTTAATGCTATTGAACTTTAAATAATGGCATGTTTTGTGTTTGAGCCCATTCCTTAGTGAAATACATTGCAATATTTACACATAATTTGACAGTTTATTTTAATTCATATCAAAAATCTAAAAGGTGTGCATTATAGATGACACCTACATAAAGACTTTACAGTTGGTTGTGTGACTGTAAGTCATTCTCTTCAAATGCTATTGAAGTTAGAAACGTGTGCGCGAAAAGTTATATAAAATATAGATAAATATAAATATGTATATATTAGTTGCTTATTAGTGCTCCACACTCCAGTCCAGTTGGTGTCGGTAAATGCACCAGAAGTTGGTTTGCCATCCGCCATAAAACGTTATTAGTAGAAGAAGAAGAAGAACGTGTGCGCGATGTCGTATGTAACTTTAGAGACGGTCCCTAAATTTGCGAATATCGCACGTCCAACGTCAAGCCAACTTTATGGCAGTGTGTGGTAAACCAGGGAATGTGTAGCTAGTTTGAGGAGTTATTAGCTTTGATATCCTCGACCTCCGGGTGCCTGGTTTAGGCAAGGAGCCTTTTCTACCCAATTCTTACTTGTAATTGAAAATATCCGTGTTCTCGGAGCCTGCTTTGGAGAAGAAATTATCAGAATTGAGTAACTCCCAGCAGAGCGTGCAGACCCTTTCACTGTGGCTCATCCACCACAGAAAACACTCCAAAACCATCGTCAAAGTCTGGTATAACGAGCTGAAGAAAGGTAAGGAGAGATACATTTTACCGCAAACACCTAGAATAGCTTTACAATGCGAGGTTATGTTATGTTTTTGTCGCTTTGAAATTAAAATAAACAACACATGTAGCAAACAAGCTAATCATAGGTTCCCCTGTAAGCTAGCAGTTTAGCTAATCTGCATGTTTTGATTCCTTTGCAATTTCTGCAGTTTACTTTGCAGGTTATTATTGAGACAAACCCTCAGTTCTTGACTGATTTTCTCTATTGATAAACACAATAATGGTCTGTAAGACAATTGCAGATAGTGAGACATTCAGCAACATGTGTTAGGTCAGTGCTTGAGCAACTCAGATTACACTACTGCATATAAGATTTTGGTGAATCCCAGAAGAAATATTCTATATAATATCTACATTAGATATGTTATGATCTATTTTCCACTGACCCTGGCAGCCATTTTGAAGCATCTACTCATCTTTTCCCCTACTAGATTAAGTTTTTTTTTTTTTGGTTAAGTGAAATTTCCAGTAAAAATGGCAAGACACAATGATTGTACATGTACCCAGACCCCTTCACTTTTCAGCATGGCACATGTGGTCTTATGTTGGGATGAGAACAGACCTGTTTGATCTAACACAGGGTGTGTTTAAAAAAAAAAGTGTGATTTATCTTAAACAACCTAGTTTAGGATCAATTAGATCCCCCTCTTTGAATGGCAAGTACTGTGTCTTTCCCAAACACACGCTTGCTTTGCTTGAACATCCAGTCTGATGGCTATAAAAATCTTTATTATTTCCATAACTGCAGATTTTGTCAGTGCTATTGCTGTAGTAGTGATGCATTGAAATATTCAGTTGAAACAGCAAAAAGAAAAAAAGTTTTAAAGTTTTGGGTGGCCAAAATCATTGACTGAAATAGTTGTTTAATTAGCGCTTCTGTGAAAAGGCATTTTACGTATGCCACTATCTATTTCATGCACACTTGGATAACATGGAGACACTTTAATGTGACCAAAAATTATGCTGGAATAGCAATATGTACAATTTGTTTGGCTCGTTGCTGAAGAACTTTACTACAACTGGTTTAATTTATCACTTGACAACAGGACACCCTGAATAGTGTACCTTGAGTTACCTAATTACCTACATTGAATTAAACTTAAAAAAAAAAAAAATATATATATATATATATTTTTTGTTAAGGAATTCATTTGAATGCATTCACGATTAACCAGTTAGAATCCAATTTCACAGTGGCTTTAGGTTTCATTGCTTGGTCATTTCCTATTCAAATTTTATGTTGCCACAGATTTTTGTATCTATTTGTGTATAGTGATATCCAGAAATTGCATAGGAACAGTTTATAAAGCTTTCCGTTCGTTATTATGACAGGTTAGCACAGTCCTTTTTTATCTTCTCACAGACGTGATAAACATTCACTTAGTCTGATCCTGCATAACGACTGGTGTCACTGAAGGTTTATTATAATGTTGCACCTTTGTGATAATGACACATAATGTGCTGTAGGAGTCTAGATTCTGTGATCAGCTCTGTTGTATTTATCTCCAACAGAGTGCAAGTAAACATCAGGTTAAGGTGTACATTAAACTTATTGATTGTAGGTCTCAATCTAGCTTTGAATGTACAGTATAAAGATACATTTTGTGTTTGGGAAAACTGGTCTAAGTTTACTCTAGTAATTGACATGTGTTTGGCTTGTTGCCCTGTGATCACATGGCAATGCTGTTTACAGTTGACCTCAGGCAGAGTAGATGCAGTACTTGATTGACAGAAATGATTATGAATGCACGTTATTAAGCCGCTGTGTAGTTTGTTGTCGATGGAGAAGTGCATTTTAAACTGCCCTTTAGAGATGGCTCCATTTTTCTGTATGAAAATGAATGATCATTGTTTTCTTATGAGTTTCTCAGTGTTGGGTCATTTTTATTTAGAACTAGTCAGAGTTTAGGACAACAATGAGGGCTTTGGATTACTGTGTGGGATAGCAGTGCTAAGATTAATTCATAGGATTTCATGGCATCTCCCAGTGATAACCGTGCGTTCTTGTTTTTATGGTTTAACCTAGTTGCTTGGGAATGAGCTCCCTTTAGGCTAATGGGATAATATTACAGCTTCAGAATAACATGATCAAGTGCAGACCCGGTTTGAATTCTGTATTGTGTTTTTGAATTAGATTATTTGTTTTTATGAGTGTTCAAGTTATTACATGGCCTTCATTTCTGAATACTGTGTATTTGCTTGGAGATGGGATTGGATAATGGGTTCGTTGCTTGGGTGGTGGTACTAAAAAACAAAGCTATCTTTTGATCATCTCTCCTGAGATCTCATTGTCTCAATAGTGAAAGTGTAGTTTTTATAGCAGGTTTTTTGTGTTCAGGAGGAATTCACAACAATCATTTCTTGCTCAAAAACCTACATGCCAAGCATGGTTGGCCTGTATTGACACCCTTACAACATTGTTTTTGTTGCTAGAACATTTTAATTGTTGTTCAGTTGCCTCAAAAATATATTTTTTCCCCCTCTCAACATTAAAAACCAATGGTATAAATGATTTAATTGGTTTAATTAAACATCACATGCCTTTTCTTTCAGATCGCAAATATTTAAAGAATTATTCCTCCCCAAACAGACAGCCTATTAAATTAAGAAATGTTTTCTTCTCTTTCTCTGTGTGCAGCCCAAGTGTCCCGTAAGCTGACCTTCCTGTATCTTGCAAATGATGTCATACAGAATAGCAAGAGGAAAGGACCAGAGTTCACAGAAGATTTTTCCCCAGTCATTGTTGATGCTTTTAAACATGTCTCCAGGTGAGTTAGGCCAGTATATTTGGGCTGTTTAGCTCCCATTTTAAATTGGAATATTTTAAATTGTTATATTTTTTTATTTAGTGGGTTTAGTACATAAGTAGTAGTATTATGGATTGTTTAAAGACTGTGTTATTGTGAAATAGATCATTTCCCATTTTTCTCGCAATGAAAATAGCCACAGAAGCTGGCATGGCGTTAAACACAAACAAACAAACAAACAAACAAACCCTCAAGGGAGTTTCTGTTTATTGAATACTTCAAATATTAAATTTTTCTTTGGCAAGTATAATAGGGTCTTAACTTGAATATTTGCATCTTGTAGTTGTGTTGCTATTATTCTTCCTGTGCTAAAATTATATTTACCATGTTTTATCTACCCTGTCCAGTGAAGGAGACGAGAGCTGTAAGAAACAGTTAGGTAGAGTTTTGTCCATCTGGCAGGAAAGAGCCGTCTATGAGAATGACATACTGGTCAAACTCTCTGATGTCCTGCGTAAGTAAACCACCACAAGGTCACACTGATTTCAAAGGTTATTACGACTGCAGTATAGTCGCTCAGAGAGACTCAGTAGTTTTTGATAAGTGTGATGTAAAGTCTTTGTTAAAAGTGAGAATGCCTTAGTATGACATGTAGAATGTCTCCTCATGACTTACAGAGGTAGAAAAGAAGGCCAAGAAAAGGCCTTATGAAGAGATTAAGGTGAACGATGATGACTTTGCCTCCCAAAGCTCCCCTGCTGAACCTCCACAGGTATGAAAGAACAACCTTACGTAATGCATATTTACCTATAAACTGACCTCAAGTCAGTTTAATCTTCCTTGTCATGACATGTTTTGTGTGTCTCAGACTAGGGATGCAGCGATTAACCGGTTTCGCGATTAACCGTGTTCTCAAGAAGTTTGTGTCCTCCTGAATGTTTGTACACATGCGCAGCGCAATCTCCGATCTCACAAACCAAAATAATAGACATGGTTTTCTCAGGCCACATGTAAAATCATATGAATTATTAAAATGAATACGTATGGATGACAGTTGATTACAATAATATTT